GTTCAGGAGGTAAGTCTTCTGTTGGCACTATGGGTTCTGGCATAGGCACAGCTGTAATCACTGTCTCCTCACAATCTGTTGTACTTTCTAAAAATATCATATCAGCTATTATTGTTGACATTCAGAATTTCATGCAGAAATCATCATTTTCCCAACATTGTTGACAAGGATGTTTACATTTTAAAAGTTATAAAATCACTGGGCATGTTATACAGTGGATGGTAACAAATACCTTGAGGTTTTGGTAAATCATTCACATCAACAGTAGTTGTTACAGTTGTAATACTATTGGCAGTTGTTTTTTCTGGTTGTAATGAGGATTCAATATTAGTGGAAGCAGGTAATGGGATATTGTTGGTGTCTTCATAAGCATCTGCAAGACAGAAAACAACAATGGATCTTACATATACTGAAAGCAGAGGAGGAGTTGTTTCTGGTGTTCTTTTCTGGCTATATATACAGAGGGTTGTATCAATATGAACACCTATCGTTACTGTAAAATTTGTATTAGAATCAGTGGCTTCTATTAAAATGATACAATGCAACAGAGGGGATGCAGATTCTATTATTCTACATATATGAGAAATGATGAATTTTTGGTTCTCAATAATTGAACAAAAAATGGGTGAGACTTCTATTAAAGATATGGCTTCTAATACAGATTTTACGGTACTATCTTATGAGGTGGATGTAACTGGTATCAAAACATGATTATTACCAATCTAAAGATGCGAGTCAGGTGACTTATTATTCCCATTCACCACAACTTGGAATCCAGTAACCTAGATACTGTGTTAACAAAAATGTAATGTAATAATCAATATATTTATTTGATGTTCACTGACTAGCAGAAATACAACATAACACAGACTGTGTTGATAGGTTAACGTTTAGTATGACCGGAGACCTATACAGGGTCTCAAGGTCACACAGCATCAAATTCTATATAGAGCGCTTGTCATTCTATAACAGACTTCCAATATGGCTGCAGTCTTAGTGGTGTTTATCTCAGTCGCCTTTGTCGGTTATATGTTAATTTTGTTACCAGTCTCACCAATAATACTGTTATTTTTAGTGTCAGTATAAATTCCGATAAGTAAATTTGGAATATAATCAACGCAAATCGAACAACAGAATGAAATTCCATTCACTTCAAATGACCATGTTGTATTCTATGTATGTTGCTTTATACAGCACGGCCATCGTGTGATCTGATTGGTAGAAACAGCCCAGCCATGTAAGAGTTGAATTTATTCAAGCATTAGAAATTAGGAATGTCTACGATATCTTCAGCATATACAGTTAAAACATAAAACCACAAGAGTAATAGCTCACTGGACTTACAGAAGATAAGCTAAGCAAAACAAAATCCACACTGTGTCCAATAATTCAAATTAAGATCAGCCATCAGTGATGTAGCTATACAGCAAATAAACCATTAATTGTGGCCCCTGGTCAAGCAGACCATGGCACCAATGATACCATCTTGTTAACTGACATCACTGCATGACTGCTCCCAATTATCTTACTCTTGCACGTCACAGTATGGAACAACATGCATAAGTTGCAATTAACATAATCTGGGGGGGGGGGGGGGGTGCTACTCCTATCCAGCAAACACTCATCCAATGAGATATCGCAATAAATCCAAATGTCAAACTCAGCATGCAATCATCTTGTCTAATATGAACATCATTTGAAATGTAATAACCTTAATACCACAATTGTTCTATTTATTTATCGTCATAATTTTACCCATCAGACAATCTGTATTCATTACAATTATGAGACATATGACACTTAGATGAGAGAAGTCAACTGTGAAATGTTTGCAGCTAGTTGAAAGGTCATTGACACAAATTAGTGAACTTATTTCCTACTTGTCTATATAGTAACTGGAGGTTGATGAATTATTAAAGGGCCATATACTGTATTTTGTGCATCTAATCTGTTTATACAGTAAAATACTGAGCCAAAATAACTATTGTGGTATAAAATACACAGAGGCTACATTAGAATGTACATGATCACATGTGTAAACAGCTGGAACATTTCTGTTCAGTTAAGCAATACATAGTATTAGCATAAATATATGCCATGTGACATTATGTTAATTATCTCATGTTTACTTATCTGGGAATATACTGTATTTGCACTATTAAGAGCGCATACACTTGCCTAATAAGTGGAGGTATTTCTATGGTCAAAATTCATCATATTTAAATAATCCAGCATACAATAAGCGTAATTTTCGGTGTTTAAGTGTTCTTCTCTTGGAGATGTGTTTTCAATACAACAAATACGGTATAGATCATTTTTGACGGGTATTTACATGGTATAAAAAATTAGAACAAATTGGAAAAAAAAATGTAGCAACAACTCTTCACACACAAACAGCAAATCATAATCTGGTATTAGCAAGGGTGTTACACACTAGAATGTTAAGTACATGAGAGTTTCAAGAGTTGTTATTAGCTGATTTCAAGTTAAAAATAACTTAAGTGGATGTGAGTTCATTGACTGTTCTAACATTCAATGCATGCATGCCTTTGAATACATAATTATCAGTAATAGAGATCAACAAAAATTAATTGCTATAGAATATGAGATGGAGAGATGAATGACTCAATAATTGTACATAAAATAACTTAAATAATAAATTGATAGATCATATAAATTACATAACTAAATAAATGATGGTTGGTTATTTTTATCATACTTTATAAAGAAATTGAAATTCCATATATGACAATATATTTTAAACTGACAACCACATGAAAAATATCTTAACTTTTCTCAGGGGCATTTCAACAAGAAGTACATCCACAATAGCACAAAACTGGTGCTTAAACGTGCACCTTTTTATCAAAAGAACAAGCATGCATGTCACAGTCCCCGTTATCAAACTAAAAATATATAGTTTTGTTTATAGTAATATAGTTGGAACATAAACATGTCAGAGATATGGATCCAGAAGCTGATGCTTGATTATGATGATTTTTTTAACATTAAAATGGTTGACATTCAGTCATCTTGTATCTGATCATCAAACAAGTACTTGTCTACATTGCAAGATAATGCTCTCGAAAAGGATTAATCAAAACAAAATAGTCACTGGTCGGCCATTTTAAATGCATCTGTATATCTATGACATGATGTATAATGAATATGTCAAAGCATGGCAGACATATGGCTCTCGAAGTGCATTTATTTAAAAACAAAATGGCCACCTGTCGGCCATTTTAAATCCGATCTGAAAAATAAAATGTGCATCAATGTCTAATGTATGTATGTACTAAGTTCAAGCAAAATCCATCTGTAAACAGCCAAGATCTGGTTTCGGAATGCCAGAAATGCTTGATTTCAGTACAAAAATGGCCACCATTCGGCCTTCTTGAATTAGATCATGAAACAAATTGATGTGCATATGTATAATATTATGTATCATGTATGTGTGAAGTTTGAATGTTATTGATCCAGGCATGTCTAAGATATACCGGTAGCTCCGGACGTACGCACAGACCCACAGAGGTCAATCCACAAGTCCCTGTTGTCCGAATAGAGACTAATGACATAGCCCCTGTACCATAAAATGAGAAATTCTCAAACAAAATAGCAAACTGAATCAGATCACGATTTTTTTATACAAGTTCATGTGTTCATGTATATGGATGGATGAGCAATAAGAACCCAATCTATAAGCCCTATATGTTCTAGACTACTGCCTGCAATGAGACCTTTACTTCAATGTCAAATTCAATGTCAAGCACATCTCCAATAGAAGTATACATTAATCAAATATTGTATTTATTGTATACTGGATCATTTAAAATTTATTTTGACCATGGACATACCTTTGTCAGTTTCGTAAACGTGTGCATAACTAATAGAGAAAATATGGTCATTATATTCCTTTCTGTCAAAACAAAAACATTTTTCACATGCTGGGCCTTAATGTGTAACATTCTTGCATATAGGTATTGTGCATTTTATTTCAAACATAACAGTAAATCAATTTAGTTTTCACAAAAAAATAATTTTCTTGAATTTCACGAGTTAGGAAAAATCACAAAATTGTGCATGTCATTGGAATTGAAGAAAAGTCAGTCACTATCATAAAATTTTAACCCTACGAATAACTTCAAATTATCACGACGATAAATGATAGTGGCGAAAATATTGGTTTAACCGTGCACAACCACAACACTCGTCATTCTCACATTCTCTCATACCACTTATAGCCATAAGTAAGAAAGTATCAGAAAGTATTAAGATGATATGGTAGATACCATTATATTAGAGGGATGATAGGTATACACTCACCAGGTGGTAAAACACCCTTCTTGATAAGTTCTTCCTTGGTTGCCCTCATAGAAATCTTCCGTTCAAGAGCTTTTAATTAACAAACAAACAAACAAATCATATATAGGAGTTACATGAATGATCATGCATTATAGTGTTAGAATAGGTTGCCATGGAAACATTTGAAGGTAAAATAAAATAAACTTGTAGCTTGTTTGGTAGAATAAAAAAAAAAGCAGACTTGCATGTAATCATACCAACACAAACATACAATATAAATAGTGTCATTGTCAGTTAAATAAATATCTGAGAGTGAGTGAATACACGGCTTTGAACCAGCTCAACTTATACCACTTAAATCTGCCAGATGCCAGGGTTACAAGCAGGTCAGGTTAACCTTTTCACCACCAAAACTTTTTGCCCAAATTTGTCTGTACTTTTTTTTATATTCTTCAATATTTCTGGAAATGAAACTTAATTTTGAAGCCAGCAGACACAATTTTAGTCAATTTTCAGTTTTTACTCAAAAATTGGCTATTTTTGTCCCAATCTTCTGAAGGTGAAAGTGCAGACTATAAATGGGACTATTTTGTGAATTTGTGATGAGAAGAGGGAACTGGTGGTGAAAAGATTAAAGTGTGAGTAAAATGTGTTAAATTTGTTGTGTTCAGTTTCTGACTAATTTACACATATTATGGCAGAGGTTGAGATCATCAAAGTCAAAACTGATACAAGACTTAAGCCATGAAACCCTGGGCTGTGCGTATGCAACCTGTGAAACAGGTCCAGACTGTGTAAAGAGACAGAGACAGAGAGTCTTTTAGGGACTTTTTGGTTGTCCATCTGTAGTGCTAGTCTGGTCAGGAATGCCCCTTCTCTATTCACGTATACTGGGTGAGCATCTCATCAACAGCAGGAATGTTTTAACATGTTGGTGTCTCATAAGTAATTATGATGGATGGTGAAAAAGAGACAAGAATTGGCAAGCAGTTCACTGTTCCATGTAGGTTGCAGGTTCTTTTCACCATTTTTGACCGATTTTTCACTTTATTCAACAAAAGACATTTTTCATACATAAATTCACTTTTAAATGCATGTAGTTGGCTGAGAATTGCTAATCAAACTCTGCAATATAAAATCTGCTCTTGCGTGTCATTGATTCTTGTTATCACAAAATCAGTCATATAAATATTGTTGATCAGATTTCTATGAAGATCTTAAAATGGAATAAATTTGTTTTCATCAATAATATTGCACATGAAATGTATGAAACAAGTTTTTTAAATTTAACATGCATGTCCACCTTAGCAAACAATAACAGTCTACCTTAGACCTTCACAACTCTACCAGTCTACCTAAGACCTTTACAACTCTACCAGTCTACCCTAGACCTTTACAACTCTACCAGTCTACCTTAGACCTTTACAACTCTACCAGTCTACCTTAGACCTTTACAACTCTACCAGTCTACCTTAGACCTTTACAACTCTACCAGTCTACCCTAGACCTTTACAACTCTACCAGTCTACCTTAGACCTTTACAACTCTACCAGTCTACCTTAGACCTTCACCACTACATTGTATCCTGGTCTACCTGAGAGCTTCACAACTACACTGGTCTACCTGAGAGCTCAAAAACTCACACTGGTCTACCTGAGAGCTTCACAACTTACTTATTGATGTTGCGGTAAATTTCTCTGATGTCTTTTTCCTCCTCCTCCATTTCCATGGTTTAAATAATCGTCCAAATGATGAAAATTTACTTTTTCTTTCAACAGGCGGTGTACTTGTGCCAGCAATCTTACGATTAGTGGCTTTCATACTATTAACGCTGACATCACCAGCTGAAAAAGAGGGAGCAAAATTGTGAGCAAGATTGCAAATCAATAGCCATGAAACTTTCCTTACTACGTGTCAGTACAGCCAACAAGAATGCGCTGTGAAATAGGATATGGTGATGATGTTATCAATATGTAGTTAATATATGCACTGTTTTGATGATATTTAGGAAAAGATAGTGTTATAACTAGAGATTTAATACAATGGAAAATAATCTTAAGAACCTGGAAGGTTAGTACAGTTAACAAATTAATAAAAAGTAAATTTGTTCATGAATGAATATTAACTAATTAAGTAGTAGGATAGTTTAGGAATGAGTAGTGAATCTTAAAAAACTTGGCAATAAGCCATTTGCAGGTTTCTGATGCATATGATATTCTGTTCATTTCAACAGCAACTGGCAGAATACAGTTTTCATTATTCATACTCAACTGTGAAAAAAATGACTGGTTTCCAGAACTACTTGTACATGTAACTTGGTGCTGAGTACAGCAGATGGATATCAGTGATTATTTCGAAATAAATCAAATCTGCAGATATGCCCAAGCTTAGTTATATACATGTCATGCAGGGAAGAAAACCACAAATGGACATTGTATATATGTAAATTTTGGTTCTTAGCAGTGATTGGTTAAGGAGTTTTTGCCAGTACTTTGTATTTCAATATTTGAGATATAAAAATGCATTATAATAATGTTCAGTTATATACCATACCAACATTATCAGAAAATATAGCAACTCATTTGAAACTCACACTTGACAATGGTTAATATACATGTAATAATAAATTACAAACCATATTAACCAACAAAGACCTGAATACAAAGTTCTGCTTTGGGTGTAACCCTAATTATTGCATATACACTATGTAGATGAATTGGTTGAGCATTCATAGTTTGCTGAAAGAATATACATCAGCCATTAGTCAGTAGCTATATACGATCTACAATGTTTCTTGTAAGTCCAAAAAAAAAGTTGCTTCTCATCGCAAGGAAAATTGAATGACCATGTGGTGATGCAGTTTTAATTTTCAATTTTACAATGGGATGCACTTCACTGGTACATGAAATTACAACAACTAAAAATGTGTGAGGTACAGGTTTTCAAATTAACCTACCCAATACAAGATGACAAGCAAAAACTTAAAGTAAGTAAAGTAACAATATATCCACTTTCAGTGAACATAACTTTGCAGTCATGACATCATTTCAAACTCAATATTATGGCTGAAAAGCTGAGCATTCTACAACACATCTATCTACTTTAGAATATAGAATATAAGTTGTGAAATGTATATTTGTCAAATCATGCAAGACCAAGCATGGTGTTGGAAATTATGTGGAGTATGGTAGAGAACATGCATGCATGTATGACTGAATGCATCCACACAGCCACGTAGATTTATTATAAAAACATAGCATTCATTGTATTCCCCATATGATAGAATTTTGTAAAATTAATATATACTGCTCTATTCCTTCTCAACAGCATTTGTAGCAATTACATAACCATAGAACGTATAGCATGTGGAATTTATGAAACGATAAAGATCATCTGAAATTTTGATGATTCGTTGTTAATTCCATTGCTGTTACCTGAACAAGGAATAATTTCTAGTCACAACACTTATAAATGTCTCTCGCTATTCTAGTTTTTGCTCAATTCATTTATTTGTCTGATTGAACATTTTTATTGAATAATTACATAATACTAAGTGAGGACATTTATAAATTACACTATCTCCTTATCAATTATTAATCTATGCATTAACGCAACAATGCCATATTTAGATATGTTGCCCAAATATGGTCAATGGTATAATATAATATTACTAACTAAAATTAGCGGCATTCATATGGTACAAACAAATTTATAACTGTATATGAAGCAAGGTCATCCAAGGTCATCCAAGTTAAGGGGAAAGAGAAGGAATAACAGGGATGAGAAACCACACGAGATATATCAAATAATATGTACTTCTTCGTTCAAGGTCTGGTGGAAGTGTTGAACTTCGACCGATCCTCCAAAATCGAGACCCGGAACTGGATTTCTTCATCTTGTCTATACATGAGTTTGTCCAGGAACTAAGAATGCAGAGTCAGGTAGAATACGACAACTGAGTTTAGTAGCAAAGATGACTGCAGGAAAAGCCTGTCAAAAGAAGACAGTCAAAGAAACACAATACAGAGATATACTTGACATATACAACACACAAATAGAGAGATACCATACCATGAATATTAAAGCTGTGAAGAAATGGTTACTATAACAACAAGAAACATGTGCAGGATTAACCAGGATAGACAACAGAAGAAAAGAGTCTGACACAGAAAGACAGAAAATATAAATTCTCCTTTCAAGAAAAGGAAAATTTCGGTTTATAATGATACTAAGAAAATGGTTGAAAGAAACCAATATAAACGGCAGAATAATAATAATGACTGGAATGATCATGGCCATATTTGGAATGACAGCACAATACTTGAATGACCGTGGTTGAAAAACATTTACTGGAAATTAGTGTTCAAGGATGGGCAAAAATTTAGAGTTTAGATCTTGGAAGTCCTGGAAAGAAAAAGGTAACGGGCACGCAGATGCCAAAAAAAACACTTAGAAAAGAACTTATATTAAGAATTTGTGAGAAGAGACCATGCGGTTTTCAACAAATCTCAGAGAAGTCCACATGTAGTACTTATATATGTAATATCAAAGCAATTGGACTTGCGGTTTTTTGAACAAGAAGTTGAAACTATAACTTTTTACTAAAAATGACAAAAATATTCACCAAAATTAGAGAATTGAAGATATCATCACAAAATGAACAAATCTGAGAGAGGTCCACATGTAGTACCTATATATGTAATATCAAAGCAATTGGACTTGCGGTTTTTAACAAGAAGTCGAAACTATAACTTTTTACTAAAAATGACAAAAATATTCACCAAAATTAGAGAATTGAAGATATCATCACAAAATGAACAAATCTGAGAGAGGTCCACATGTAGTACCTATATATGTAATATCAAAGCAATTGGACTTGCGGTTTTTAACAAGAAGTCGAAACTATAACTTTTTACTAAAAATGACAAAAATATTCACCAAAATTAGAGAATTGAAGATATCATCACGAAATGAACAAATCTGAGAGAGGTCCACATGTAGTACCTATATATGTAATATCAAAGCAATTGGACTTGCGGTTTTTAACAAGAAGTCGAAAGTATCACTTTTTACCAAAAATGACATCAACATTAGAGAATTAAAGATATCATCACAAAATGAACAAATCTGAGAGAGAACCACCCAAGGTACCTTCCTAGAAAGTTTCACAGCTATACAGTTTGTGGTTTTTAAGAAGAAGTTAAAAATGTAAAGTTGATGACGACGGAGACGAAGAATCAGTAATACTATAAGCTCTGCTCGACTTCGTTGACAGCGGAGCTAATAAAGCTTGGTGGTTGTTAGTATTTTAGTGAAATTTCTGTAATTATATAGGACTGATTTACACAGGTACAATACAACCATACATTGTTAAGAACTGGAACCAATCAAATAGGGGATGAAACTTAAAAGTTTCCTTTTCATTAGATAGATTGGGTACCCGACCCAATTGTACCTAATCCTAGCAATATAAATTAAGACAGGATTTGAAATATAATTTTCATTGCTTGTTCACCATTTCATGGACACCGATAGATTTTATAAACTGTGTGAGCAATTTTTATTTACAACATAAGCAAATTAAGACTATCTTTATTTGGCAAATCACTAAACTTGGTACATATATGTATTCATTTGGTACCACATTTAGTTTAGTATTACTTGGATTACAACAAGTAAGTCCCTGCTCTTTATGACAAGCATTTGCTGGTTGATACTTGCAGCCAAGACAGTACAGAAGAGTGAGTCATAACAGTACACTATCAACAACCCTGACCTTTTGACTGACCAGCTACCGAGTTCCTATCGGATTTTTTTTATTTTCTCTCAACTATTCAAAAACAAATTTAAATGTCAAAATCAAACGATAAGAACGTTCAAAACATCATAAAAACAGTTTATTGCAGTTGGAAAACAGAGACAGTCTAGACTAAAATGGGTCAGTTGACAGGATTGTATGATTATTTCATTTCCCATCTTTGTTGACAAGGAGAGAGATTTCAATCACTAACTGCAGAGATAGGAAATAATGATCATTTGTGCAACTAGAGACTGACACATGTGTTATAAAAAAACTAAAATGAGTGATATACATGTACACTCACGTATTATGGTAAAACTACTGCTAGTGTTTCACCCGTAAGGAAATATCTTACCAGTTGACTTCCGCTGCCACCAGCGCCTCATGATCAAAAGTTAATTTTCTTGCAGAATTACCAATTCCAACAAGTGCTTGAGACTAAAATAATACCTCTCTATCTCTACCAATGGCTATAAACTTGTACCACATTTTAATCATGTGACGACATATAAGGTCAAAGTTCAAATGATATATCAGATCTTATTTTCATTCATATCAGCAGAGGCCGCTAGGACACCAGTTAAAAGTAACTTCACATTCTCACTTCGCATAAATAAATAGATTTGTACATTGATTCAGGTCGTTGTTTGATGTATTCAAAAACAGGTGAACTAGTTTTTTTTTGTAAATGACATAACAGTACATTAACATACTATTAAAGCATTTATGGGTCTCGTATAAAATATAAAGAGAACAGACAGAACACCCAAGTAGCCTTTACATAACATTTTGTAACTATACACAAATTAAAATTTTATTTAGCATAACTTCCATTGTAGAAAAATTATTATTATATTCATATATATTCGCAACTTTTATTAAATTCATCTGGACTTCTGCTAAGGATCAAATAGTTGGCTTACATTGTTTTTCTTAGCTAATTTCAAACCAGCTTAGCGACTTTGCAAATGGGGAGAAATGAAAAATGTTACAGTATCACTGTAAAATACACCTTATATTGCATGTTAGCAAATAATTTTATGC